ATTTAAGATGGTTCAAAAACAGTTTCAACTTTAATATGCGTTTTAAAACATTTGAATCAAAAGGACAGCAGACACCCCTGAATTCAAAATGGTAACAAAGAGTTTGATGAGGAATGAGACCTAAACTGTCTGCAGGGGAAACAGTATGCTGCATCTGTTTTCACTGAAAACTCCAACCATATTCTATTTTGGTACCATGATGAAGAAAAACTGTGTTTTTTCCCAGAGAAAAGTCGAACTGGATAATTTTCCAGGCGCACCTGATTAGGCTTATCCACCCCGAGGTCATCTGAACAGCGATTTATGTTGGTGCTGCTGCCACTCGGTGGCGCAATTGCCTGCTGAGACTGTGCTGGAGGCACGGAGAGAGAAGGAACAGAAGCGCTTGTAGCTGCAACTTCTGGCTGCACTGGCCTTTTTGATGATGCGTCATCCCTGCTTGTGCTAGCATTGTTTTTCTGTTTGCTAAACCAAGCTCTGATATCCATTTTTAGCAAGCTACTGTACCAAAGCGTCTTCTTCTACTGCATCTAAAACTGTCGATTAGTAACCTAGAGCGCCCTCTGTTGATCATCTCGAGCCAATACATTTGCATGCGGTGCTGTAATCTGTCCTGGGCGGGCCAGATTGGCAAATGGGCGGGCCGGGCCCGCCCAGGCCCGGCCTTGACGCCAGGCCTGGGGATTATCTGTAAACTTATAGCCATGTTTAGGTGTGGTGACGTCAATCAGCTGCGGTGGCCATCTTGAACTGGACTGATCAGATGAAAATCCAATAAAGTGGTGGTTCAAGAGATCTTTTGGTAACAAACACAAAAATAACATCTCTGCATGCCTTCCAGCAGCAGGTGAGGAATATCCTCTCAGGCGGATTTTCTGGGGCAGTTGTAGTTTGTCTTTGATGCAGTATGAAGGAGCATTCATCCATCCTGCCTGTTGAAACTGCCAATACCAACAGGACTGATCATTAGAAGGAGGAAATAGCCTTTTGTAACAACTAACTGACTAATTATCCAAAGTAAACACAAACTATTCCCTACAAATAACATTTGTAAACAAATGATCCCACAACAACACGCAATAATTTTAAAAGCAGACACAAGCATTACTTACAGAAGCCCATTTCACATTACTCTTTATAATCAATTCTTTTAAATAATGTTCACTCACTTGTTAGTGAATAAGGATCCACCTACTTTTGTGGTTTTACAACAAAGTCGTCAGTCATCGTGTCAGTCCGGCCCAGAGAAGCGACAGATCCATACGTCTGCTGATACCAGAGCATCAATAAGAAGTTCATAGCAATCAATCCAGATTATCTCTCTCTCATCTCAGTTTTCCAGTGAAACAGTAATAAAGGAGCTCTAAGTCAGTTTTCTATATAAGTTGACAACCCTAATGAAAAGACAGGCATCTATACTGAGTTACATGTTTTGTTCCATAACCTAAAATAAACACAAACAAGGATCCTTACCGACCTTGTAAACAACACATGTCCAAAACAATCTCACCACAATATTGATCAGCATGTGTTCTGGAACCATCTCCCACATCACAAGTTTCTCTTCAGTGGAAAATGTTTCCATGTAAATATCAGCCTCAGCTGTTATGCCAAGAAAAAAAAACTTTATGAGTGCAATCACTTTTATAAGATCACTATTTCCTGCTGCTTTTTTACTTTTGTGGGAGCTGCACATTATCTAAAAGTTCTTTGTAATGTTGCCACCAATAAAATCCAGCTGTATGAACACACTCACTCATTTTCTGCACCCTCTTCTACCTGATCAGGGTCATGACATCAGTATAAAGACAGCTCTAAACTTGTGCATTCATCTCAATATAGTTCATGATTTTTGGAGAAACAGCACCTTGGGGTTCCCTTTGCTCTGGGACACCAGGTTGGAGAAATAGGAAACCCTGGTGTCTCTGACTGCAGAGTTAAAGGATGTCAGAAGATCCTTTAGGTGCAGCAGATGGACGTGGAGATGGGTTTTCTTCCACAAGTGCTCAATTTTTCTGCATTGACGCTTCAGGCTGCGAAGGCAGTCATTAAACCAGGGAGTAGGGTTCACTGCAGGAACTGATCTGGTTCTGACAGGACAGATGTTGTCCAGAATGGAGAGGCAGTGCTCGTTGAACTGAGAAGTCAAGGAATCTGGGTCGTTATCAGAAGAACAGGTTGGATCAAAAGCAGCAGAAAAAATTCTAGCTGTGCTCTCATTAAGAAAATGAGAACTAACCATACGGCGAGCAGGAGGTGGGGACGCAGAAACTGACAAGTTAAAAAAAATGCAATGGTGATCTGAAATATAAACGTCCTCAGGACAAACACTGTCAGCATTTAGACTCAGGGTAAAAACAAGGTCTAGAGTGTGTCCCCTGGTGTGTGTGGGGCCAGAAACATGCTGGGTAAAGCTGAAGGAGTCCATGAGGCTGGAGAAATTCATGGCAAAGAGATCGGAGGAATCATCAACGTGGATGTTAAAGTCACCAACAATCACCAGTCTGGACAGCTTCATAGTGGAGGATAGAAAGTCACTAAATTCCTGAAGGAAAGAACTGTTTGGACCAGGTGGACGATAAACCACAGCACAGTAGAGCGGGTCCTTACGCCCGACTTTAATCAGCTGCAGTTCAAAGGAAGCAAAGTGACCAGAGGTTGTAGAGCTACATGGAAGATGGTCTCTGAAAACAACAACTAGGCCTCCACCATGACCAGAACCCCAGGGCTGGCTAAGAAAAGAATAACCACTCGGGCAGAGTTCAATCAGACCAGAATAATCAGATGTTTGCTGCCAAACTTCAGTCAGAAACAGAAAATCCAGGTTTTTAGAGAGAAGTAGATCATTGAGCAGGAAGGACTTATTGTTAACAGAGCGGGTTTTTAATAGAGCCATGCTGAGTGAGGTGGAGGAATCAGAAACTACAGAAACAGCTGGAGTTAGTGGACGTAAATTAGCAGGGTTAGATCCACGGTGTTTATAAAAACCACTTATGGAGGGAACAGGAGGAGAAACCACTCCTTAGGAATGAAGAGAAACCGACCTTAAAAAACTTGGACAGATGAACCGCGTCGCAACGCGGCCTGGCGAGAATGCGGAAGTGGCGCTCAGGTCACCAAACAAAGGACAAGAAGCTAGAAGATCGCGCCGATGTTTACTAGATAAACCATGCTTTAAGAGAAGTTATTCTCACCTGGATTCCTGCTTGTTTACCTCTTTTCCTCCAACGTTTTCCCGGGACCGGACAAACATAGCTGGAGACAGGGACGTCGGACTGGGGGGGGAAAGGGTACCGTTTACCCAGGGCCCACTGCAGGGAGGGGCCCTGACACAGCTTTGAATAAAAATGTTTTATTGTTGTTGTTTTTTCCCCCCAACTTACTTAATGTCTTAATAAACTTCCCTTTACCTGGATAAAGAGGTTAAGAAACAGAATTTCGCCTTGAAAATAATAACTGAATAATCTCTGAGGCATCTATCACCCCTTAAAAATGTGCAAAGTGGTTTAGTCCACACCAGCGGCCAGGGGCTGCACGGCTGCATGTACAGCTAATGAGACATTGCAGATGCCGACAGCCAGAGCTGGAGGCAGGAGAGTCAGTCATGTCTTTTCCCAAGAAAGGGAAATCTGGCTTCCAGAAAAGAAGGAGAAGGAGAAAAAGTTAATTGAACAGAAGCAAGTATTATAGGTTTTCCCAGAAGGACGGTGAGCAGCAGCCAGCAGAACACAGTTTTAGCTGATATTAGCTAGCTCTCAGAAGCTGCATTCATGTTAGGTGTTCAGTGTTAAACGCCTTTAGTTTCACCATCAAGATCAAATATAAATTAATTAGTGTTATCAGTGATAACACTAATTAATTTATATATATTAATGAGAATTATTATCGCGGGCGGCCGCCGCCAATTAATTCGCGGACCTCGCAGTAAAAACAGGTTCACTCTGTGTGGATATTTCAGCTCCTTCCCAGTCATGGACCAGGACAAACTTGGTATCGATGGATTCGTGGTAATCTCAGGAATGTGAAGCTGCCACTGTTTTTCGTATAGCATGATGATACTGGTGTTAGAGGATTGTTATTGACTTGCTTAGATATTTTAAGCCTATTTTAAACTTCTTTATATTTGATCTTGAAAACGGACAATCTTATAATTTGGCTGATAATGCAGGGATTATAAAATTTAGAGTACATTACATTCACAGAGAAAACCTGGTTTATTTCATGTCATATGTATTTAATATATCAATACATATCAGTATCAGCAAAGCTTAACATGATGAACCATGACAGACATGACTGAAGAGCAGATGAAGATATCATGCCAGGCACTGATGAGAAAATATTACAAGGATCTCACAGCTGAATTTGAGAATGAGATGCTACACCTGAGAACAATATATGGTGCCACATTTCCACACATTCGGTCTCCTCTTGAGCTGCTTAATTCCATCTACAGGATGCAATTACAGAGCATTTTTGGAGAAGTTTGTATTGGACTGAGGATATTTTGCACACTACCTGTGACTGTTGCTGGGGGTGAACGGGCTTTTAGCAAACTGAAACTGGTGAAAAATGATTTGAGATCAACAATGTCCCAGGATAGAATGAACAGCCTAGCTCTTCTTTCTATTGAAAGCCAATTAGCCAAAGGATTGGACTTTAAAGATCTCAAAAGTGATTTTGCTAACATGAAGACCCGTCAGTGGGCATTTACTGGAAAATAAATTCCAGGATTTTTGTTTGAACACATTATTGGCAAATAAAAATAATTATATGTGAAGTCTGGGCATTTCACTTTTATTATGCTGGCATTTGTATTTGCTCAATATAGAGGTTAAAATAAGATCAAATTTATTATCTTGTCTTATAGCATGACAAAAAATGTGTAAGAGAGATATTAAGTAATTGAGCATGGGGGCCCACCTAGAAGACTTGTACCTAGGGCCCAGAATTTGGTGCTACGCCCCTGGCTGGAGATGCGTAGCTCGTGATCGTCCTTTGGCTCCGGGCCAGTGCGCCACTCAGGTAAACAAACAGGATGGTATGTCCTCGGAGCATCTTGGGCGATCGTGAACGAACAGAAGGACAAAAGAGTCTGGCGATCATAGGAGATGGTAGCAGGGACACTACTGAAGAGGATCGCAGACAGGAGCAAGGTGGAGAAGAGGAGGTTAGGGGAGAAAAGTTTGAAAAAGTGGCCGGTGACTGCGGCTAAGCCAAGCACAGGCGCCATCTTGTTGCCAACTCAGTAGGCACGACAGGTTGCATCTGATGTGGTTTTATTAATAATCAACGTTCTAGTTTATAGCAGACCAAACTCTTTCACACCCAGAACTCAGTTTCTTCCAGATACAAGGTTCTGATAAAAAATCACATTCCATCATCAGACACCACATTCCATCCACACATATTCATCCATTTCACATTGTTTCATAACTTGTCAGGTATTATAATTAGTCTAGAAAATAAAGTTTATTATAACTATATACTTGACTCCGTCCGAATTAATATGAAGTGCGTTTATGGTCACTGAATAAGCAAAGAATCCTGAATTCTTCTGGGTAAACATTCAAAGATCAATCAGGTTGATACTCTATTTCTATAGATTCATCACATCTTATTGATCTTAATTAAACCCCCCAAAGTACACTACGTAACAACCGGTACACTTGGATTACTGAAACTTCCTTTTAATAGGGCTTGGTCAAAGCAATTTAGCACTTCTTAATTTTTACTTTCTTGGGATCCAAAGTTATTCTAGAACAATTCACAATTCAACAATGACAACAACATTTTACACTAAAGTGGGCACAAATCATTAGGAGGTGGGAACGAACAGACCTGTGGAACACAGCTTGTTTACATACCCAAACATCATCTATCTGTCAGTCCATCTGTCCAGATTAGGCCAAACTTCATGGACAGTTAATGAAAAGCTTTGCACCAGATCCATAAGCATTGCATATTATCTGCAAACCATACTAAGCAGCAATAAGTAACCATTTAAACCAATGGGTGCATGAAGCATTGCACATCCCAGAAATGTAGTATAAGGTTGCCCAAAATTATGTGATACACTTCCCAACGCGTCAAGTTCAGGAGTTAAGATCAGAACAGACAGGACGTTACACGTGGAAGCAGTGTAATATCCTTTCCAAAAAAAAAATACACATGCAGATTTCCAGTTGTGCAATTAGTAAAAAAAAACAACAAATACGTCAGCACCTGTGACACCTCCCTAGCCGAGGTAAACAGAACAGAAAATTAGCCACAGACAAATTTGGACACAATCTGCCATCTTTCTCGTTGCTTGTTATCGCCTCAACTGCCAAAATCATGAATGGTCTTGTAGGGCTGCTCGATTATGGCAAAAATAATAACCATGATTATTGTGACTGAAATTGAGATCTCGATTATTTAAGACGATTTTTCAATTTATGTTATCCAGAAAGTAGCTAAGGGTTACCAGAGATGTTTCTGAGGTGTTCGCTAGATATTTTTACAATTTAAAAAGTCAAGAAGGGGGCCTGAAAAGCTGTTAGAAATAGCGTTAAAGTCGCTAAGTTGGCAACACTGTGGGAGGAGCGCTTCATTTGCAACTCAGGGCAGCGCAAGTGGGAGGAGCAAATAATCAGCTTGTTTTGTTTTTATAATCGTTCAAAACTCAGATCGTAATTGGGATTAAAATTCGATTAATTGAGCACCCCTATGGTCTTGTAAATCTCAGATGATTTTGTGACCTTACGAGACCATATGTGTGTAGCGGACCTGATGTGCTCCTGGTGGGAAGAGATGCACTGATGAGCTTGCGGGGAAAACATGTCTTTTACAGAATCATGCCCACATCAGATGGAAAGCTGGGGTAGAGTTGTGGGTCAGCTCTCTTTTCATCCCTGTCATTGCTGCTGACTAATATTTAACCTTTTGGTCAAACCCACCATCTCTCACTAAATAGTAACCAGCTCTCTGAATGTTACATTGTTGTACCACTTTGTCTAAAATCAAAACCGGGCAGCTGATTCGTGCATCACTGCCACGCAGCGGCTGACATCAAATCGATACAAGGAGGGGGCAGCATGTATTTGCGGGTTGCTCAGTGACCACGGAGCTAATGACAAAACAAGACAAATCAAGTGTCTGCTTAGGCATACTTCTTCAACTTGACATCATAATGGAGGAGGTGGGATGGGGAAAGAAGGGAAGAGCTGACTGGAAACCAGACCACTGAGAGAAACACTTTATTTCACAGGCCTCATTTGGAGAGTTGTTTTAAATGAGATGGGACACAGATTGCCCGTGGCATGTCAAGGAGATGCGACCTGTCTACGCATGTGTTTGTCTGGGTGGTGTGCCTCCAAGGGCCATTATGATGACAGGAAAGGTGCCGAAAAGGAAAGACGCAGAAGAAGACCGATAAAACACGAGGCACTGCCAGTGGAACAAATGGGGTCAAAGGTCAATAACATTACAGTGACAGTCTCAGCCTGCTCTTGGCAGACAGGGAAGCTGATAACAAAGCATTTGAGCTGACACACTAAAAGCCACTGAATGGAAGCCCACAGTATGGCATTTGATTCATATCAGTGAAGCTGGGGGGGGTGCATTAGAGAACCAACAGAGCCTGAAATGATCATGTGTCCAATTGGAAAGTAACAGTTAACAAGAACGCAAAGTGTCGAGTGCTGGTGCGTCTGTGTGTTCTGGTGCCAGGCTCCCGTTCTTTAAAGTGTTCGCTGAAACCTCGTGGAGATTACACCCAGCCATATGTCTAGACTGTGAACACTGTAGCTTCACAGCCATCAGATCCATTTGGCCTTTTAAAAACAGCCACCCTCATCAAACGCATTATAATTAACCATAAAATATGACTGGCGGAGCTGTAGTGGGCTGTCATCTTTGTCTGCCGTCCAAAAACCAGGCCTGGCTCCCTCTAGGTGGATGGTTTCACGGGTCTTTGTGGAAAACGAACAGAGAGCCGAGGGCCTGAATGCAGCTACGTGTGTCCATGTTTTTCTTTGGCTTTACAAAGATAAATGATGTCATTTCAGTTGTGAAAATTCTGTAGGGGGAGTAAATAAAGCCTTTTAGACTGAAGTGTTTGTGTTTTTTGAGCCACATTGGCCTCCCTTCTTGCTACCTTAAGAAAAATTAAGCAAAAAACAGCATAGTGAAACTACTTAGTTACCGAGGTGACGTGTGTGGGAGGTCTGTGTCAATAAACATGCACTGCCCTAGACTTTGTGCCTCTGGGAGTTGAGATTCTCCAGAGACGAAGTTGGTTTTGATAGCAGCCCTTTCTGTTTAAAAGAGCTTTGAAGCAGCAAATGCAAGACTGCAAAACTTCTGTATCCTGTCATCTCCAAATTACAGCAGCCTTACAGTGTGTTTGTATAATTTGTAAAACATAACTGCTGCTTGTAAAAATGTTCAGTGGCAGTCACCATCGTCCAAATTGTTTTACTTATCTTTTTGCAGTTTTGGGAGTGAGATTCTACAAATGTTTGGTTTTTTGCACTGACAAACTGTTCATCATTGATCCCCAACTTCAAATTACTTTCCTGCAATTGAAATATCATTATTATTTAAAGTTTACTTAATCAAAGCACCTTTTTAGGAAAACTGAAAACAAAATGGGTGAATTCAGTTTCTTTATATCAGTGACTTAAGCCTACTTCTCCATCCATGCAAGGGCTCTGATCAGCAACCACGGCCAAAGTAAATCAAACTCAACCACGGCGGCAGAGGTACACGGGCAATCCACTGTGGATGCTGTCTTTCGCGCTCCCATTGAGTTGTAAGAAAAAAAAAGTTTTCATTCCTTCAGATAAAGCCATTCCAGGTCAACGGAAACTTGCGTTCTATTGGCCACTGCTCCTAGAGTGGATTAGTGTATTGCACGCATTTTTTTTCAAACTTTATTTAACAAAATAGAAACAATGACAAATTCCAACATCAGCAAATCAATTTAAATTTTCAATCCGAATGCAGACTTCCTTAATGATATTTGCGTTAGTAGATAAACCTTTGCAGAGACGTCATTGCACTAGCAGGTGCAAGAATACATCTACGCCCCCTGCTGTCTTGGTGGAGAATTGCTTCGCAACATTGACCAACGGAAAACTATAAAAGTAAAATGTCTCCTTCGATAAGTTTTCCTGTGAGTGGAAACTTGCTGACGAAGCAGGAAAAACTAGGCTTTAGGTAAAGTGTCCCTAAAGGGACACTGGACAAATGAGTATTTCAGCGTCCCCTTCAGAGTGTGGACTGCTGTAGCTTCTTGTGTGCACGAACACATTTTTATCTTCTTGTCTTGTTATTTAAAAAAAACTGTTCCAGGCATATATGCTTCAAAAATGTTGTTTTCAGATGAAAATGGCCGAGCTCAACAAAGTCATCAAGAGCAAAGATGCGTGCTTATCCTTCTACTTGTATTGCTTCTGTTTTTTGGAAAAAGGTAGAAATGAAAGCATTTTTAGAACATTAACACTAATATCGACTACAAACTGGAACTATATTGGGAATTCAGACATCTATTAGTGGTAAATTCCTAAGGTTTTCATATATGTTGTAATCCATTTTAAATACAATAGTGCATAAATGTGCTTTTTAATCAATTGTTGCATGCTTTATATCTACTAATAAATTAAGCTTAGCTTAGCTTTGCAGATGAAAACAAACTAATTGGAGTTCCTTCAATGCAGTCAAAATAATAAGAGCTAAATGAGGAACAGGAGAGTGGAATGAGTGATCCAAGTTTATTTAGCCTTTTGTAATCAGGTTAGAGATGTAGAACGTTGTTCCTGAGCCTTTTGACTACACATGCCATGAAAACATTCATTTAAAATTAGATCAGTTCATGGTCCAAGAAGGTCAAGTGCCTTTACTGAAACTGAGCTAAAAGATGCCTTTGTGAAGATATTTTTATCTGAGGGTTCATTCCCACCTGATACTCTGGTGAGTGTGCCAACAGGACAGTGTGAGTCCAACTGAATTACAGTGCACATCTTTATGGTTATTGAGTAACATGTTGAGTGTAACATGTCACATGCAATGGGTTTTATCGTTTTTGGACAATAATGGAACAACATTATAGGATTTAATTACAAACAGGCTGAATACCATCTGAGTT